AAGTTGTTAAATGAATCACTGCAGTCATTAAGCTACCTCCATTGACTTTCTTTGTCGGAAGCTGGCTGGGAAGGTCACGAACGGCGATTACATGAGCCCAGGATGCTGCATTTCCTCATAAATACATATCTGTGGCCAGGTGCCCAAATTTTGATCACACGACTATGGAGATGCTGCAACCATCCTAAGTGAGAGGAACAGTCATAAGTCTCTTTTTTCAGTGCTGCTGTAACTTTGAATGTTCACTAAATGAACGATTGTAGTTTGAGGACAATCTGTACTACAGTCTAACACAAATAACATTATCAGCTTCCTGTACTCCACAATTGCTTCCTGGGCCCACTACCTCACTCTGTTTTATGGCAGGATCAGCCCCAGGAATTGTGACAGCAAGAACAACATCTTCACCTCCTGGAACGAAATGTCTCAAGAACAGCCCTGCTGTCAAATTTCAAATCCCAGCTGGGCTCAAGAACAAACAGCCATCTAGATCAACCTTTGGGCACCAGGGACTGGTTCTGTGGAGAGAGGTTTTTCCACGGACCAGAAGGGGTGTGGTTTCGTGTGCTGCCTGCATCCCGCAGATGGGGCTTTGCTTCTTTGCGTGGCCCAGTGCTGTTCCACAGACCAGGGGTTGGGGACCCCTGATTTAGAGAAGACAGGATAATCCCATCCAGCAGCAATAGTCAGAGGATGGATGGATAAGATGATCATCAGAGATCTCATTTTATCACATCAACATAACAGTATCAACATAACAGGGTCTCTTTCTCTGGTGCATATGAGAATCTCATAAACCCATTAAATTCAAGTCCTAACATTACGTAAAGGCATCATTGTCCATTGTTGAGAAGCTACAAACAAACTCTACTTTCTGCTGGGTTAAAAAAAGGATCACCTTTGGGAGTGAAAGGCTTCTGGAGAAATCCACCTGAGCTGTTGCATTTGGTAATCACTGACTGACCAGAATTGCAGACTACCATCACTCAAAAAAAAAAAAAAAACCTAGCTAAGAAACCAAGACAGTTATAGTAAAATAATCAAGGAGAATAAGGTTGATTTTAGGACAAAGGAGAAAAGCTGCCATGTTCTAACATGAGGATATTGTGCTAAATTTTTCATAAAAGGGGCTCTAGTCTACCACTACGTCAATGTATCTCCTGATCCAATCTTCTTGAGATTCTTCAGAAGAATTGGACTCCAAAGCCCATCATTCCCTCAGCCAACCTGGCTAAGACTGACAGGCAAGTGTCTATGGAGATTCTCAGTCATCCAGGTCATGATTGTCCCAAAAATGCTTTTTCAAAAGGCAACTGGTTTTTCCTTGAAGATGTTTCACTTCTCATCCTAGAAGCTTCTTCAGTTCACAGAGGAGAAGCGAAATATCTTCAAGGAAAAAACAAAAAAGTCCAATTGCCTTTTGAAAAAGCACTTTGGGGACAATGACAGGCAAGGTGAAGTCCAAGACGTTTAGAAGGTACAGGGTGGAAAAGGTGAACCCAGTGATCCAAGATGTTTCACATCTGTTCTTAGAGTTTGCTCTAACTGACTAACCTGCAACTCACTAATCTGGATAGCTCTGGCTGGCTATTAGAAGCTGGGGAAGGTTAGTGGGGCAGCATTCGCATCCTGACCAGCAGAAGATAAGCCCATGGACCCTGAAATGAAACCAATCATGGAAACGGTAGAGCCACAGTTAGACTTATGTCAACTCAGGGCTGCACACAGTCCTTAGTCAGAGGTCTCTTCAAGAGTTAACACACTGAATTATCATTTTGAAGGGGGAAAGAGAAAATAATTAAATGTATGGGGAGCAGTCCTGTTAATTGTCACTAATTTTAATTTAATCATATGTTGTTTTTCCATTTGGTTCCATCCACTTTTTCTCCCCAATTCTTTTTTGAATTATTTGGAAAGATCTATAGCCCACCCTTTTCCCCCCAGCTTACAAGAGGATCTCTCTTTTATCCTTAAAATGACCCTGAAAAGGAGGTTAGGCTGAAAAAGAGAGAGTGGTTCAAAATCACCCAATGAATTTCTATTGGCTGTTGGTGGAATTCAACCTGGGATTCCCCAGTTCAAGTTTAGCTTTACCTGCCACATCATACCTCTCCAATCAAGGAACTCACACACAAGTGCAATTCCCACCCAAACCAGAGAGCTTAATCATGATATAAATCTAACACTTGTGCTATCAGTGCAGAAATCCTGACACAGAATTAATACTGAAAGGACTAGCTCTTAACATGTACGTAACAGTATATTACCCAACTGTATAAAGGAAGAACATTACACCTCTTAATAACACAGGTATACACTACGTAACAGTAGTTCTATGGGGTTTCCTATTGTACAAAGCCACAAATTAATTCTGGGTGGGGGGAAAAATTCCCAGTGGGCAAAGATCTTATTTGGGGAAGTGCATCTTATCTCAAGGGTTTTTTTAACCCGTTTTCTCTCTTCTGCTTTAGATTTGATTCTATAATTCTATTAGATCAGGTACAACAACCCTGATGGATGCAGAGAAGCATCAGAAGGAAAAAGAGTAGAGAAGCTGCATTATAAAGGAGATATGAAAAGACAGATTTGGGTTGCATCCAGAGTCGTAATTCTTCCTCTTTCATTTTGCTGAAAAGCATGTGTGCCGGACAGAGGCTGAGCTTGGAAAAACAGCCTGTCAGCTTTTAAAAAGTTGTTATTTATGACCACAACCCACGATTTGCAACACTACCTAAGCCAAGAAACATTACTGCTGGCCTTCCACACTGACACAACAGCCATCTGAATTCTATCAGAATCTGAATGGGGAAGGGGAGAAACGGATAAGAGAGAAGCATGTTACATATGCTAAATCATATTTTTTATTTCTCCCCCTTTAAAGGTCTTAATGGGGAAGCCAAACAAACAAGTTGGGGGGGGACAACTTCACAGCTTCTGATGTCCCTTGAAAAACTAAATAAACAATTAACAATATATCAAGTTGAGATGCCGCTGTTCTGCTTTTCCCATGCCATTATTCACAGCAAAAAAGCACTGCTTAGTCTGTTTCCATGGCTTTTATATCAGCAGCTGTTTTTTAAGACTGTCACAGTATATTATATAATATACATATACACAGACACACTAACACACACACACTCATTCACCACAGCAAAGAGGTCAGCCATCCCAAACCACCCCTGGAATCTCTGAAATTTGCTTTATGCCTTAGGTAGCCACAAACCTGACTTTGCCACCCCAGGAGAATTTACATTTCTGGGGGAAGGAAAAGTGGAGGCAGCAACCAAAAGGGAAAAGAATGACTGGGGGTGGTGTCTAAATGGATGGCTAATGTGAAGGGGGAAACCTGAAAGCAACTTTTCTCTCCTAGCTTTAAAGCCCAAATCTACCCAATAGGCTGGATAGGAGGTGATGCAGATCTTTTTCCACAAAGCTCTGCTTATGGCTCTGGGAATTTCAAAATGTCTATTTAGTGCAAAGGAACAGACAGGGAATTCTTCTCTTCTACATATCTTGGATCACGAGAAGTTGACTTGGAAAGAGAGCCACAAACGGGACTTCTACCCTTGGCTGCCCTTAATATAGAGGCGAGAGGAGTGCAAGAGGAGACCCGCAGAAAGGGGAAAGTGATGGTTACCCGCCACTCTCCCCCGGCTCAACATGCAGGGCGGCTGTGATCACCAGCTGCAGAGGAACCCCCATAAGGAGCAAGTGTGGGAAGCAGGAAGCAGAGCAGCTGCTTTGGGACCCGGCTGCCCCAATTAAAGGGGTCGGACTGTCCTCGGCCACGTATTGGGGGAAACCGCTCCCAGCGCCTGGGCGAGGAACACCGGAACCCCCCGAGCGAGCAAGGCAGAGATCGGGACAGGATCCTGGCTGGGGTCATTTCAGCTTTGCGGAGCCAGGCCCGAAGTGCCCCTGAGCAGGTGCAGAGCGCCTGCCGTTAATGAGCAGTTATACCCAAACTGCAGAGCTTGAAGTTAGGGCGGGGAAGGGGGGTCGAAATGGGCAAGCCCCCCTCTCCCAACCCGTTGCGGAGAAAGCCCGCAGATCTCTCTCCGTCACCCCAGGAGGGGGGCTCGCCCGGCGGGCGGCTTCCCCGGTCCCTCCGGAAGGCAGCAAAGGCGGCCCCACCAATGGGCGAGCGGCGGACTCCCCGACCCCTCCCCAGCGTTACGCAATACGCCCAGCTCCCGGGCGCTCCCCGAGCCCAGCCCCTCCCCTGCCCTGCCAGGCTGGCTCCAAAGGCAAGCGATTAACCCCTTCCTCCTCCTCCTCCCCCCTTGCCCCCTCCCTCCGAGGCGCTTTACCTCCTCGCCCCCCAGGGCAGTTCCCCTCTGCCCCCCCCCCATTGCCAGGCAGGGGCAACCGGCCCCGCTTCGCCGAGGGAGCCCAGCAACCGGGAGCAGCTGGGCTTCCACGGTATGTCCCCCGCCCCCGCTCCGGCGCGCAACAAGCAGCGGCAGCAGCAACCGCCGCCCTCGGCAACGCTTGGCCGAGGGGCCGGAGCGCAGAGGCTCGCAGCCCCCCTGGCGGATCGGGCATCCCCCTCCAGCCCCGGCGCCGCCACGTGCTCGCTCTGCCCGCCTGGGAGCCACTCGGGGGCAAGACGGCCGCCACTGCAGCAAGGGAGCTGCGGCTCCGGCGCTCTCCCCGGCGCCAGCTCCGACGGAGGGCGCAGGAGAAGCCGCAGGAGGCGGCGCGGCTCTTGCGAAGGGAGCGGCGGGGGGCTGCGCGGGTCCGCCGGCCGCAGCTCTGCAACGTGCGTCATGGCTGCGCAGCGCCGGGGCAGGATCCCCCCTCCTCTTCGGTCGGGCCGCGCGGGGCCTGGACGGTCGCTCTGCGGGCAGGCTGCAGGCGCCCCTCCTCGGCTGCAGCGTCCAGGGCTCGCCTTTCCTTCCCCCGGCCCTCCGCCTGCCCGGTCCCGGGGTGGCTTTGCGTCGAGCTCGGAAAGGGGACCCCGACTTCCCCGGGCGGACCCCGCGGCCTCGGCTCCTTACTTGCCAATTTCCTCGTAAAGCTGATACTCGTCGGTGAAGCGGGTGCAGGTCACGGTAGTGGCCATCGCGGCTGCAGCTTCACTCCGCAATGAGCCGCCCGGGCTCCGCTCCGGCTGGCAGCGGGGGGGAGGGGGGAGAAGGGGCGGGGAGGAGGAGGAAGGGGCGAGGCGAGCGCCGAGCAACGGGGTCCGCGGAAGAGCCGCTCCTGGCTGCTGGCGGCGGAGCGCGGCCCCTGCAGAGCGAGCGAGCGAGCAGCGATCCCGGCACTGGGCAGAGTCCGCGAGAGCTGGCGGGGGGAGGGGGAGAGAGGGAGGGGCGACCGCCCCTCCGGTTCGCCTGGCGTGCGGGCGGGCGCGTCTCAACTTTGACGGGGCGGAGGTGTCGCTTCGCCCTCTTCACTGCCGGGAGCGGCTGCCGCTTGTGCGGGGCTCGGAGTCCCACCTGCGCCCTTAGCTGCGTCCCCTCCGCTGGGCTGGGCTGGGCTGGGCTGGGTGATGGACCCGGTCCCTTCCCCTCCGCATTTGCTGAATTGCCTTGCGCGTTCTGCTTCCCGGAGGAGGGAATGGCGGAAGCCTTATTCAGACGTGTGAAACTTCATCCAGTATCTTCCAGGTGATTTCCACGCCCCCCCAGGTGAACATGAACAACTTTCTCTCTCACCTGCAGCTCCAAGAATTCCTAACCAGGCCGGCCTGGGAGAAAATGACTCTATTATCTAGAACATTTTCCCTGCCAGGAGACTATATTCCTGCCTCTTCTGCTCAGAGCCGCTTCCCTCATCCACCGATGAACACCTGGGTCCAGTAGCTGCTCCCTTTCTGCCACTGCAGGTAGCTCTCAAATCCAACCCAACCCTGCCATCTTCTCGCCTCCTTTGACAGCGCTTCCAGATGCTGACTCCAGCATTTTGCAGCTCGGGAAGCATCAGGTGCTTGGTCAGCACCTCAGAAGGAAGTTCGAGATTCAAATTTAAAGCCAGACTTTTACCAGGGTGGGGTTTACTTGCAAGAAAATCGAGGCAAGGTTGCTTTGCCAATGTGGTCCTCTGTTGCCATGATTCATTCCACTTCTTTAGTTTGCTTGATAGACAGTCTCTTCTTAAAAGCCTCCAATGATGGGGCACCCACAACGTCTGAATGCAAGCTGTTGCACTGGTTGATTTATTCATTATTTATTTATTTATTGGTTCGATTTATATGCCGCCCTTCTCCAGAGACTCAGGGCGGCTTACAATGCGTTAAGCAATAGCCTTCATACTTTTGTATATACCTGCTTAGTAGGGCTTTCGCCCCCCCCCAAGCGGTGTTCTTTTTTATACAAAGTCAGCTTATTGCCCCCACAAACCTAGCTTGTCCTAGCTGTTAGGAAGTTCCTCCTTAATTCCAGGTTGTTTCTCTCCTTTCTTTAAAAATAAATTTTATTAATTTATTAATTTTATTAATTTACTATTGTTTACATTTATCAGTGCTTAATAAACATCTTGTTGTCTAGGTATTTAATTTGCTTGACAATATTTTAATCTCCACCCCTTTTTTTCCAGTCACTGATAAAATAGATTCCATGTTTGGTAATATTCTGTATCTTCTTGATTAGTTTCCATCCATTAATTCTTGTCTTCTTTATTTAACTGATCCTGGTTTTTCTGGGTTTACAGAAGGGAACCATTGATTAACCATGTGGGTTGGGTCACACTCAGATTCAAGTAGGGGTGGCTTAATGCAAGGGTGCAACTACAGCCTAGCTGTAGGAAGCTGATTTGTGGAGAAGCTTCTCTACAATGATGTTGAAGAACCATGGCATGATTCTCACTGTGCCACCTATAAGATTATAACTTTGACCATCCTCACTATGATCCTTTAGTTCATTACCTATTGAGACCTGCCACAAAATAGTGGCAGGTAGGATTTTCAAATGAGGTACTCCAGATCTTCAATGCTATCTGGGGACATAGTCTTGGCTTACCCTTTGCATTACAACCATTCATTTATGTTGGGGGTTACATCAGCACTGAAAAAAGTGAGTTATGATCAGTCCTTCTGCTTCCAATCCTCATAGCATCCCTGCCCAGCAAAATACAGGTGCTGAGCAACCAGCATGCATTTAGAACGATTGCAGGGTCCTGGGCCATGTGATCCCCATTTGTGACTATTTTATTTATTTGGAAAATTTATATTGCCGCCTACTCGCACATGGTGACTCAAGGTGGCTTCTGACAAGCAAAGTCAATGGGAGAAGACAGATTTGCTTTATGTCCATAGTGACTCACTTAACAACCCACAGCAAAAAAGGTGGTAAAATTGGGCATGACTCATTTAATGACCACTTTGTTTAGTGACAGAAGTTCTGGTCCCAGTTTGTAGTTGTAAGTCAAGGACTACCTGAATCTGATTCTTCATGTTTATTGCAACATGCTGGTTTGTCACACAACATACTAACCCATTATTAAATAAGCCATCATTCACTCAGTCCATATTCTAGGTTTGCACACACATTGCCTCTTAAAACTATTCACGTGAACTGAATTCATGTATGCCCTTGGTTTTATGGGGTTTTTTTTGTTGTTAGCTGCCCAGGGTTGTGTTCTAAGATGAGCCTACAGACAAAACAGATAGGCAGGCAGGCAGGCAGGCAGACAGACAGATGATGGATAGATGCTCTCTCTCTCCCTCCTTCCCTCCCTCCCTCTTCACAAAGTTAGATTTCAGTAGCTCCTCAGGTACTTCCACAGAACAGCCAATCCATTGGCTATACTCAGATATACAGGTGAAACTCGAAAAATTAGAATATCATGCAAAAGTTCATTGATTTCAGTAATGCAACTTAAAAGGTGAAACTAATATATGAGATAGACTCATTACATGCAAAGTGAGATAGTTCAAGCCTTGATTTGTCATATTTTTGATGATTATGGCTTACAGCTCATGAAAACCCCAAATTCACAATTTCAAAAAATTAGAATATTACATGAAATCAATAAAACAAGGATTGTATATAGAACAATATCGGACCTCTGAAAAGTATAAACATGCATATGTACTCAGTACTTGGTTTGGGCCCCTTTTGCATCTATTACTGCCTCAATGTGGCGTGGCATGGATGCTATCAGCCTGTGGTACTGCTGAGGTGTTATGGAAGACCAGGATGCTTCAATAGCGGCCTTCAGCTCTTCTGCATTGTTCGGTCTCATGTCTCTCATCTTTCTCTTGGCAATGCCCCATAGATTCTCTATGGGGTTCAGGTCAGGCGAGTTTGCTGGCCAATCAAGCACAGTAATCCCATAGTCATTGAACCAGGTTTTGGTACTTTTGGGCAGGTGCCAAGTCCTGCTGGAAAAGTCAGCATCCCCATAAAGCTTGTCTGCAGAAGGAAGCATGAAGTGCTCCAAAAATCTCCTGGTAGACGGCTGTGTTGACTGTGGACTTAATGAAGCACCGTGGACCAACACCAGCAGATGACATGGCTCCCCAAATCAACACAGACTGTGGAAACTTCACACTGGATTTCAAGCATCTTGCAGTCTGTGCCTCTCCATTCTTCCTCCAGACTCTGGGTCCTTGGTTTCCAAATGAGATGCAAAAGTTGCTCTCATCAGAAAAGAGGACTTTGGACCACTGAGCAACAGACCAGTCCTTTTTTTCTTTAGCCCAAGTAAGACGCTTCTGACATTATTTGTTGTTCAGGAGTGGCTTGACAAGAGGGATACGACATTTGAAGCCCATGTCCAGGATCTGTCTGTGTGTGGTGGTTCTTGATGCACTGACTCCAGCCTCAGTCCACTCCTTGTGAAAGTCCCCAACACTTTTGAATGGCCTTTTCCTGACAATCCTCTCCAGGCTGCTTGTGCACCTTTTTCTTCCACACTTTTCCCTTCCACATAACTTTCTATTAATGTACTTTGATACAGCACTTTGGGAACATCCAACTTCTTTTGCAATTACCTTTTGAGGCTTTCCCTCCTTATGGAGGGTGTCAATGATGGTTTTCTGCAGAACTGTCAGGTCAGCAGTCTTTCCCATGATTGTGATTCCTACTGAACCAGACTGAGAGACCATTTAAAGGCTCAGGAACCCTTTGCAGGTGTTATGGCTTAATTAGCTGATTAGAGTGGGACACTTTGAGCCTAGAATATTGAACCTTTTCACAATATTCTAATTTTCTGAGATTGTGAATTTGGGGTTTTCATGAACTGTAAGCCATAATCATCAAAAGTATGACAAATCAAGGTTTGAACTATCTCGCTTTGCATGTAATGAGTCTATCTCATATATTAGTTTCATCTTTTAAGTTGCATTACTGAAATAAATGAACTTTTGGCTGATATTCTAATTTTTCGAGTTTCAACTGTAGGTGAAACATGGTTTATTAACTCACTGGAATCATAGGGCATGGAATCATGCATTAACCATACTGGGTGGGTTCCCACAGCGTACCATTACAAAGTAGCCAACTCTGTTTTAGCCTCAAATGCTCAACTCAACCATTCTTTGAGGATTGACTATATTATCTCAAAGCACCTTCAGAATGAAGTAAATGATCTGTAGCCAGGAAAACCCCAAGGTCTATGGAAGTACAAAAATATTTTAGAGAAACAGAGAGTGGAAGGAAGCTTAAGCAGTTCAAGAAGAAATCGTAAAACTTCATGGCAGCAGGAAACATTTTGGAGACAGGCAAGATATGGATCAGGTAGGAAAGGGTTGCCATGAAGTTTTCTTCTCCTGACAAAAATATTCTTTTCATGAAAATATTATTTCATGGGAACTGACTTGTTTCAAAGCAAAGCAGATGCCTTCAGCAACACTTTTACTCCAAGAGTCTGTCAGGCCCATGGAGACCTGACAGGTCTCTTAGAAAATGAGACTATTTTCTACATCCCAACACTTTGGAAATGTTCCCACTTGCCTATAAAAAATTTAAAAACACAAAAGTAAATGGAAATGGAATAACATGCTTTTCTGTCCTTGTCTAGAGAAGGGACTGCAGACAGACATATCCACAGGGCTGGTCAAACAAATAAGGTGGCAAGTACAATTGGATGATTGTAGCCCCTCCCCCCCCACAAGAAGACTAAATATACATATTAAGATGGCATTCACCACTGATATGATTAAATCAGATGGTTGTAGGTGCTAACTTATTTTTTTAAATCCCACCCTTCGTATGGGTGCCCTTCAGGTGGCAGGGATCATTTTTACCATCTCTTGAAAGCAACTGTTTGGCAGTCATTGTGTGAACATGTGTGCACCATTTTTTAAACATTCTGAGTGGGTTCAGCAATCAAGCAAGGTTCCATACTCCCACAATGATAGACTTTGGATAGTAGCGCTTCTGATTGACTCAAACCTGAAGCAGAAGTCCACGTCAGTATTTTGTGGCTTGTTCAGTGACTACATTTCACAGGATCAAAAGAACTAAGATGTACTATAATATGAGCAAAATGAGGCCTCTGACGTTTAAGGC